CCCTCTTCAAAAAGATTTGACCTCAAATCTGGATCATCTTCTCCTGATGCATTCCTTAAACCTGATACATTGAAACAAGACGAGTTAGTACATGAAAATCTATCAAAGAGTAAGAGTCTTATCCCAAATTGGTTTTTGCTCGGTTTTGGCTTGTATGCTGCGTCTGGAGGTGCTTCTTTGATGAGGATGAAGCCAGAGACGTCTTGGTGCTTATCCTGGTTGAGATAAGGTGGTTTGAATCTCTTGTCTTCCTCACGCTTGTAACTTCTTCTTGTATACTTCCAAGTTCTTTTATATCATGCACATGACTCTTTTGACAAAAACAAGTGCATCATATCTGTGTATTCATTAAAAGAACTCTTAAAAATATAATCACCTATCTTAGCATGCTCACCTGGTCGCCATAAATAGGTCTGAAAAGTTCTAAACTCAGACAAATTCAAATAAAGTACATACAAGATCACCTGAGTTGTAGAAACTATAACTCTTTCATATGAGAAGATTTGGACACGATTCCAATTCGACGTGAGACCCTGATGAGTTAAGTTTCCACTGAAGTTGAGTTTGTTGCTTAATTCCCTTTCGTTGTAGAGATATGATCCTCGGACTGCACCTATGTTAAAGCTGGCGGCTAGACAGTTTTCTTGGTGCTTCTCCAACTTAGCCAAGGACTCATCATTGATATTTTGATCATGGTAGCCTCTCTTTTCGAATGGTGTAGTACTCAAGAAATTTTTACTTGTACCAACAGCAAGAAAATCAGGTTTCATGTTTTTCTTTGAGTTTAGATAGATACCTCGGATTGGTTGCTTTGGAGCTGGTTGTAGACTAAGTTCATCTGGTGGTTTCTCCTTGATTTGAGAAGAAAACATGAGTTCTTCCCCTGATCCAGTGATCACTTCACCAATCTTTGCAGTGACTCCTCTATCTCCCATCATGATCTGATAAGCTCTGCAGTAGTACTGAAGCTGATGCATATCTGGTGGCTTCCATATCTTGATATGATCAAGAATCAAGGCGTTTTGATCAACTCCCAACTCCTTATGATCCAAACTGATTCTAGCACGAACAGAGCACTCTTCAAGGATGATAAGTATGCTATCATATGCTCC